TGGCACCCAGACCACTTCATTAAGCTGAAGTGGTCTGGGTGCCTAGAGTGGTCCTTTAAACAAAATTTCCCATATACATCGGACTTATGCTGGAGACAATGTGGGGAAATTGGTAATATGTATCATATTTGGTGAACTTGTATTAAATTAAAATCATTCTGGGATTTTATCCCAATCATTTTCCCCACAATGACAAAATTGTCACCAAAATTAGGCTTATTCAAATTGCGTCCAAATTTCTTAAACAAGGCCGACAAATTAGTTATATCTCATATTTTAAATGCTGCCACGTCCTTGACACCCAGATATTGGAAAAAGGTTACATTACCAAATGAAGGAGAAGTTATAAATGTTGTCAGAGAAAACAAAGATTATGAATTGGCTCTAAGACCTCCTTCAATATTTTTAGAAAATGTGATCTATATATGGGACACATGGGATTCAAAAATAAAAACAAAACAAATAATATAGAGAGGTGGATTTATTTTCTCGGCATGGATAATTAAATTTTTTTTATTATTTATTTATTTTCTTCTTGATGTTTAACATATTTCTGTTATATATTGTTTTTTTTTGTTTTTTTTTAGAATAAGATATTATACATGAGTATCTCAATTATTAACATTAAGGGAGTAATATGTTTTATATACCCTACCCTTAGGCATGTGCATGGGAAAAATTTTCTGTTCGGTTCGGCATTCCGAAATTTGGGACTTCGGCAATTCAGCACTTCGGAACTTCTCTTGCAGCCGCTTGTTAAATAACTCACTAATTCCCACGGTATTAGGGAGTTATCTACCAAAAGGCTGAAAGACCTAAATTGGTCTTTCAGCCAAATTTGCTAATACTAAGTAAAGATTACTTAGTATTAGTAAATTATGCCCCTACACGCTATACCGCGAGTAGGGGCATCTCTAGTAAACAGTGAAAAAATAAAATAAAATAAAAAGGATTCCACTCTCCTGAGCCCCCACCCGCAGCGCGCGAGTGGGGGCTTTTAAACTATTGCCCCCCTGGCCCCCACCCCTGAGCGGCGGGTGGGGGCCCTAAATTAGAATAAGGGGGGAACTATTGCCCCCCGGCCCCCAACTTTGAGTGGCGGGTGTGGGCCCTAACGTAAAATAATGGGGGGTGGACCTATTGTCCTCCCCCCGGCCCCCACCCCTGAGCGGTGGGTGGGGACCCTAAATTAGAAGTACCCGAAAGTCCGAATTGCCCGAAATTCATCCGAATTCATATTCGGACCGAAACGAATTGCCCATGTCTACCCTACCTTCCCTTTTTTGATTTTTTGTTGCTTTATATTGTCAATTTTGCTTAATTGATATTAACATTGTATTTGATATTAGTTCTTTATAGATATGTTGTATTCTACTAATTGTTTACGAAAGTGATATGTAATTATAAAAAATGTAAATAAAAAATATTTGAAATAAAATTTAAAAAAAATTATTCACTGCAGTAAAGTCACAGTGCAGCAGAGACACACCCTGGCAATCAGACTACCTGGCTTGAACAGCCACTCACTCTCTCTCCCCCTCCCCCCCCTTTTCAAAAAAAAGAAACAAAATGCAGAAGAAAAGGCAAAACTCACTCACTCTCTCTCTCTCTCCCTGGAACACATTAAAAGCAATGTGGCTCCCCAAGTTTGCAACAAGTAAAGTACAATAAATGTAATGTAATTTATCTCCCTCAGTCTCTTGTGCTATCACAACTTGTCTGGTCACATAAATGCAAGACAACAACCTGACAGCCTGATTTTTATACTGTCCCACCTCAATGACTGTGTGCCTTCATTGGCCAAGTGTCAGTGACAAAATCACCATTAATTAGCTGTCCTCTAACATCAATCACAAACATTTGCTAATTTCATTGGACAGGGAATAGTGAAACTGGATTGGACAAGTAAGCATTACATTGCACAAAAGGAATTAGCTTATTGGTCAAGATTCCTGTCATAATTCATGTAATTTTCCCTTCCTCTCTCTTGTTTTGCCACTTTTCAGAAATCCAAATCACTTTGGCGCATCACAGCTTCGGCACTTCCGAACTACGGAACTTCATCACTTCCGAACTCCGGCTCTTCGGACATTCGTAAGCATCCGAATGTCCAAATGGCATGAAATTCGTACAAATTTACATGTCTATTAGGCACCTACATAACCTCCTACACAAACACACACAAAATGTAGCTACCACACACACACACACAAACACACACACAACACTTAACCAGTATGTAATGACACACACAACACACTCTCACGCACAACACTCAGTCAACACACAATTTACAGAGACAGAGCACAGGGCTCTAGGAGGTAGCACCAATCTAGCACACTGCATAGGGCCTTGGGCTACCTTAAGCTGGATCTGGGGGTTATATGTATTGTCTGTAAGTAATATAACAGTATGCGTAGTTCAACATTGTGCAGCGTGAACATAGAGTATGAGTGTCAGAGTCTACTCCTGAGTCCAAGTCAATCCACCTCCCAACTTGCCCTATTCTCACTGTGCCATCCACAGCCTAGCTGCATTATGTAGGTTAGGTTATAGAAAGAGTATTCTGTAATAAATCTGCTTTCGTTTAGTTTTTGTAATGTAATTAGTTTTCCTCTATAAGACCACTCTTTCTGTCAGTCTACACAAACCTGTTTGATCCCAAATACTGTTGTGTCAAATGATGTGATAATTTCTGCAGTAAATAAACTGACAACTCCCAGAAAAAGAGTTTTGCTGCAAATACTGGGAAGTCGAAGTCCTGCTTTTTATTCATTTGGCAGTTTTTTGTGTTTTTGTTGCATGCAGATCTTATAATGTCTACATAAGACAAACAGTGTACATAGCACTGTACTCACAGGAATTCCTGTAAATTCTGCGATGTCAGCAGACTAATTATTTCTGTGTGTTAGACCACACCTTCCATGACCTGGCAGCTTTGCATTCAGAGTGAATAATAAGAGCACGTTTAACTAATTCACCCCCAGCTCGCGCGTAAAGAGAAAGTACGTGTTATGTCTAAAGATACAAAACACACAAATCTATCTCTAGTTCTATATCTCTCTCCCCCGTCTGTCTCTCAAATTCTCGTAGATTGTAAGATCGATAGAGATAGATAGAATATATATATATACATATATATATATATATAGAGAGAGAGAGAGATGTAAAAAACAGATAAAATTCGTATCTTGTAATACCTTTTTTATTGGACTGACAGAATTTTTTAATGACAAGCTTTCGGGAGAGAACCTCCCTTTCTCAAGTCTGAAGCATTTCTGAGCAAGACGACACATATATATATGTTGTTGCTGCATAAATGCTAATAATAATAAAACATACTGTCTGTCTATAAACATCATCAGATATATTAACTACTTTAGACCATTGCTTGCATGGGATGTGGCTAGGTTGCCCATTGTCCACACATGTCCCTGGAGCAGCGATGTATTTACTGTGAGGCTAACAAGGCATAATTGGTGAGTGTATGAGAAAATGTGTGGGAGTATGTGTGTGTTTGTCTGTCAGTAAATGTGTGTGTGTGTCTGTCAGTACGTGTGTGTATGTGTGTGTGTGAATCAGTGAATGTGTGTCTGTCAGTGAGTATGTGTGTCTGTCAGTACGTGTGTGTGAAGAGGTTCGGCCTTGACAGGAAGTGGTGGGGCAAATTTAGATTAGGTGGTTGCCCGAGTTTAGTCATGCCTAGGGCAGCACGAATCCAAAATACACCACTGCCCTGGAGATGAAGGAAAGGAGTATTAATAAAATGTATTTGCAGAAGACTTGGTGTTCCCCTCTCACCTTTCTCCTGGCCTCACTTCTGAACTTATACTCCTGAGTATGTTTCTGTGTCTGAGTTTAAAAATCAGCCAAACCAAATGCAAGATGCATGCTTACTCTCCTTTTGGACTTGGTAGTCTAGCTAACTGCAACTTTTTAAAGGAACTCTGTAGTCAACAAAACAACTTTAGCTTAAAGAAGCAGTTTTGGTGTATAGATCATGGCCCTATAGTCTCACTAGTCAATTCACTGGTATTTAGATGAATCACCTTTGTTTTTATCCATGTAGCCACCTCCCTGGCTGTAACTCACACAATCTGCATGAACATTTTTTTTCATTTTCACTCAGATATTAACTTACTCTAGAAGTTTTAATCTCCTCTTCTGTAAATTGAATCACACACAGGAGACTCCTGCAAGGTCTAGCATACTATTAACAATGCAAGAGATAAGACATTCTAAATTTAAAAACTGTGTAATCAAGAAAGTGTAAACATTAGATTTCACTTTACAGGAAGTGTTTAGGAAGGCTGTGTAAGTCACATGCAGGGAGGCATGACTAGGGCTTTTATAAACAAAGTGATTTAACTCCTACATGGCAGAGAATTGAGCAGTGACATTGCAGAGGCATGATCTATACACCAATACTACTTCATTAAGCTAAAAGTTGTTTTTGTGATTATAGTGTCCCTCTAAGTGTTAATCTCACACCTTGAGATCTCTGTGTATTAAGGTCAGGCCAACCTGGTTCAGGATATATTATGTGAGCGAGGGAGTCATGATACATACATTCAGATATCTGAATATACTCCATTTCTGTTGTATGCTCCTCTATTGCCAGAGCTGATAAACCTTGAATTGCAACTTAGATGAGTTAGAAGTGCCCGCTGTAGTGGTTATAATGCCAGGAGTACCCTGGCAGGGCCACCACCAGAAATGTTGGGGCCCCTGACAAAGCACAAGGTCTGGGCCCCCCCTCTCTCCACCCGCCCACCGGACTCCTACCTAGTCCGCTGCAAATTATGCAGGACTGAATGTGGTATTTATAGTGGAAGTGAATTAGAATGTGTGTAATGGATGTAGTGTTTGTGTGTATTAGATACTGTTTGTGCAGTGAATGCAGAGTGTGTGTGTGTTAGTGTAGTGTGTGTGTGTTAGTGTAGTGAATGCAGAGTGTGTGTTAGTGTAGTGTGTGTCTGTTAGTGTAGTGAATGCAGAGTGTGTGAATGCAGAGTGTGTGTGTGTTAGTTTAGTGTAGTGAGTGTGTGTGTTAGTGTAGTGTATGCAGTGTGTGTGTGTTAGTGCAGTGAGTGCAGTGTGTGTGTTAGTGTAGTGAATGCAGTGTGTGTATGTTAGTGTAGTGTATGCAGTGTGTGTGTGTGTGTTAATGTAGTGAATGCAGTGTGTGTGTTAGTGAATGCAGTGTGTGTGTTAGTGTAGTGTATGCAGTGTGTGTGTTAGTGTAGTGAATGCAGTGTGTGTATGTTAGTGTAGTGTATGCAGTGTGTGTGTTAGTGTATGAAGTGTGTGTGTTAGTGTAGTGAATGCAGTGTGTCTGTTAGTGTAGTGTATGCAGTGTGTGTGTGCTAGTGTAGTGAATGCAGTGTGTGTGTTAGTGAATGCAGTGTCTGTGTTAGTGTAGTGAATGCAGTGCGTGTGTTAGTGTAGTGCATGTGGTGTGTGTGTGTTAGTGTAGTGTATGCAGTGTGTGTGTGTGTTAGTGTATGCAGTGTGTGTGTTAGTGTAGTGTGTGTGTGTGTTAGTGTAATGTATGCAGTGTGTGTGTGTTAGTGTAGTGTATGCAGTGTGCGTGTGTGTTAGTGTAGTGTATGCAGTGTGTGTGTGTGTGTGTTAGTGTAGTGTATGCAGTGTGTGTGTGTTAGTGTAGTGTATGCATGTAGTGTAAATGGAGCATTCCAAAAATGTTATTCCCCCCTCCCTGGTTCTTACCTTGTCAGGGATGGGGGAGATTCCATGATCCCTGGTGGTCCGGTGGCATTGAGGGGCCCCTGGCTCCCTGTACTTGCAGAGGGGGCCCAGTGGACTGCAAGTGTACTTACAAGCTCTTCCCTCTCTGTAAGTCCCGCGAGACCCAGCAGTCCGCTGGGCCCCCTCTGCAAGTATAGGGAGCCGGGGCCCGCGGTTGCACACATAGATAGCGATATTCGCTATCTATGTGTGCAGAGAGGGAATGTGGGGCCCAGGACTGCCAGAGCAGCCAGGGCCCCCCAGGACTGCCGAGCCCATGACCACCGTCATGGTTGTCACCCCTGATGGTGGCCCTGTACGCTGGCAACAGTTTGCCCTCTTACCAGGGTCTTGCTCCTGGTCTACACTAAAGCAGGATTTACCACATGTGGCTTCTGCAGAGCTATAGAAACTTTAAGTCAATACAGTAACCATTCACTGGCCGGAAAGCATCAACTGATCGTTCTCAGCCAACAATTGCAAGTTTGGAAAGTTACATAGAAGTGACATTAGCCAGCCTAGAAAGCTCATTCCAGACTGGATGATAGCACCCCAGGTTGCTGCTGGGGGTGAAGGTTTCATAGCAAAACTCTGCACATAGTGACTTCAGACACCATGGCTACTTCACATTGCTGAAGTGGTCATAGTGCCTAGTCCTAAAATAACTATTTGAAGGGTTATTTGATGTCAGATTCTTTTTGAACAAATGTCCAGGTATAGACCTCAGAGACATTGCTCGCACCAGGAAGAATTAAAGCAAATGCAATATTATTTCTAAGACCAGTTATCTTTCAAGCAGTTAGTGTATGTATGTTATAATAAATTGTGAATGCGCTGTTATTTATTACATAAACTGTATTCTGGGCACTTATCGAACCGAGTGAAGTAAGCAACAAGCTAATAATATAAAATAATGGTCTGTTATTTTTCATTGTTAAAAACAAACAAACAAACAAACAAAAAAAAACTCTGACAAGTTTACCACATTCACAAGCTGAAATAGAAAGGTTTACTGCAACATTTCCTCTGCACTAGTCTAAAACCAACAGTAATCCCATTTGGTGTTTTTATTGTTGTAATAAAGGTGTTTTTTGAAATTTCCCAGAGTTTCACATTCCCTCTGAGGCATTTGGAGTTTAAAAAATGTGACGTCATGGGTAATACATTGTCATGGTAACAAAACTTTTCCACAGGAAATGTGCACCTGCATGATGCAACACTTAATCATGCTCCACTTTTTAAGAGTAATTGAGCAAATTCTGTGATTAATGAGTGACATAAAGTTAAAGTTTATTTTGTACATTTCCCCCAAAAAATATTTTTTTCGAATCCAACAGTAACGGCTCAAATTCACATTTTATGTATCAGCTTTGGAATTTAGTACACTTGTAAAATTAGAAAAACAAAAAAAATTTGGGAACGCTTAGTAGACAAACTATTCCCATACCGTTGCATTTTGGAGTTTGCTGGCTCTTTAACTTGTGTCATCCTAATTAAGAAATGTAGGTACACAACAGCCAGAGTGTCACACATTGCTAATCCATGTTCCTGTCTGACAAAGTATGCACTCAGGGGACAAAGCAGCAGTAGACTTTGCAATTAAAAAAACCCTAGACAACAACTCCATCCCCCACTGCTGATGGTTGTCCCTTCCTCACCCCCACTTGTTACAGTCTTCCACCTGTTTATGTCTATCTGATTTTCTGATCTGTTTCTCTGTGTCTAGTTTGTCTGTAGTTAGGGATCAGGACTGGAGTGGAGAGAATTCTCACACTGATCGTTTGCCTGTGTGTTTATAAACTTTTGAACACCCTTGTACACTTGTAAGTACGTTTAATCCTCCCTCTGCCAGAGGCATATGCAATATCCCGTAATGTAAATAGGTGAAACAGGCGAGTTTCGCTGGGTGATGTCATTACTCTTACTCAGTATTTTCTGGAAAGCTTTTCAAGTAACTATACCTTGGGAAACGTGACAACATGAAGGAACCTATCCCAAATCAAGGTGAACGTTTTGTACACAGAGGGGGAGGGGGGGATACAAATCCAACTGAAAGAAAAAAGGTAAACATCAGTCTTGTTCCACAGCTCTTTCAATAAGGCATTTAACCTAAAATACAATTATTTTATTATTTAAAATAGCACCATCAGATTCCGTAGCGCTGTACAAAGGGTGGACTAACAGACTTTTAATTGTAACCAGACTGTCAGGGTGGCGATCCGGTGCCCGGGACCCAGACACTGTCCAGGCGGCGGTGCGAGAACCGGGACCCAGCATGCCTGAGGTTCAGAGTAGGAGTCACAGTATGGAGGTGGATTAGCAGGGTAACCGCACACCCCCTGGTGTTGAGCACCAGCGTTTGTGCAGCCACAAACCAGAACCCTTATTCAGCTTATGTGGATCCCAGGAACCAGGGGCTAGGAAATAAGCAAAACTCCCAGGAGCTAAATAGGGAGGCTCTGCAGCAGGAGTGTATCCAGTACAGAAACAAGGCAAGACTAGAGATAGGCACCAAACATGAAAGCAAGACCAAACTAGGAGAACCCAGAACCAGAGCAGGACAGAAAACAGAACCCAGAACATGTACACAAGACATGAGGAAAACAAGAACAGGGCAGGACAGGACTGTACATGAACTGGGAATACAAGACAAAATAAAACAAGACAAGATATAAGGCAAAACAAGAGGAGACATAACTAAGCACTATATATGAAAAGTATGGGGATTTAGTCACATTATATGATCATACATTGCATAAACCTGCCACAACGCCAATGTACCCCATATTCGGCAGGTCCTACACTGCCTAATGAACCATACTAAACCACAATAGCACTTACCTGCAAGAAAGGACTTTATATTGTACATCTATTTTTCAGTGATGGCGTCTATTCGTTAACAGTTGGCAATGGTCTCTTGCATATTAATAATTAAACATCTTAGTAGGGGTAAGTGAAAGTGTTTTTTTTTGACGATTAAAAGGGAATTGTCACTGTCTATGATTTTTATTATTATATTGTCTTATCCATATATTTACCAAATATATATGTGTAAGGTGTGAAAAATAACATTCAATGTAGAAATAAACACCTCTTTATCCGGCAGCTGGGTGCTGCCATTTTAGCTCCCTGTCAGTCATTGTTATAAGCTCTGTAAGTAAGTATAGAGAGATGATTAGATTAAAACAATGTTTCTACTTCTCTCTCCATTAGCGATACTTTATTTGTCTAGTGTTGCGTATGAACGGGATGTCATATGGTAAATCTTTAATATAAATTTAAAAGGAAATGGAACACCTCGTGACAAATTGGTGAACGCAAATTATACCTGTTTTTCAAGTTTTAATCGATGGTCTGAATTCCATAGAAATAACTGTCCCACCTTTAAAAATAATATAAAGAAAAACCCTCTTCTGAAAAATAGTCTGTTTATGTAAACTGCAATGTTCTTCACACCCTTACCATTTAGCTTTTAAAGTTATCAGCGTGTATGTATAGAGAGGAGAGAGATTTGCAGCACTGTGCTATGGGATTCAGCTTATCAGGCTTACAAGCAAAAATTGGAAGACGCTCAATATGGGTGCTTGGCGTTTTCCCATACTTCTTCCACCCACAACACTTGAAGAATGTAAAACACAGCCGTAACCACAGAACTAACATTGGATCAGGTCAGAACATCAGGAACACTTGACCTGAAATGCCCGAGTTAAAGAACTGATCCATCTTAGTTTTCAGAGTTGGATTCAAATCAGTAGATTTGGTTATCTTTGATTTAGATAGATGAGTTTTTTTTCTTGAATCAGATACAATTAACTACTTGCTGTATAGTTCTCTGTTACAGTGTCTGTTGTTTGTTTTTACACTGTCCGAAATATAATTAACCATACGTATCTTACAATTTGTAGACATAAACAGAACCGATTGTCGGTAGCTCTAAACTGAATAGACATATCATTTAGCACAACATGAGATTTGTTATTTTCATTACAATAGATGTATTAGAGCGTTTTGGTCCGAAAATGGTTACGTCTTATATATTTAAATTGTAATTTGAGAGGGTTTGGAATATGCAAGTGATATAAAAAGGGGGAAAATACAAAAATAAAATGGACATATGATTGGAGGTTGATTTAAAGGAAGGGGTACATCTTTAGAATCATAACACGTCTTTTTTACTAGGTAGTGGACAAAGGAAGAAAATGGGACACCCTGGGTACCAATACAACTTTAATGCATTTGGTAGATTCTGGCCTTGTTAATATGCTGCATGTTTTTGCACACAAACAAACTAAATGTTTGGAAGAATTCTGATTCATAAGCACGCCTCCTTAGCCAGTCCTCTCATGCCAGATAATATTCCTTATCAAAAGTATGCACACAGTGTCCCTCCCAACAGCACTGACTTAGTGGCTTGTATTTCACAACCTGGCTTCAGACAGTCAGGGAAACTACAGGTATTGATACCCTTACAATGTGCCTCAATGGGTGTCCTCTCCATCTAATGCAGGTTGTTTTATTGTTCAGAGCATTCAGTACAATCAGTAGCTGAGCTGTGGTGCATCATTCTGCAAAACATTTATTTATTTTATGCTAAAACCATAAAGAATTGAGCATGCAAAAAAATACAGCATATTAACAAGGCCAAAACCTGTCAAATGCATCACAGTACTATTAGTGCCAGACGTGCCCCTTTAAGTGGAATATGATAAAAACAAAGGGGTGTGTACAGAGGGTGCAAACTAGTAGACAAAAAAGAGTGAGTACGTTTATGCCAGAATAATGGTCAAAGATTATGATGTCACTAGTCTCCAAACTTAACCAACTATAAGTCCCATATTTTCTTAAATGATGGGAATTAATGGAATTATGTAGTCTTGCAGTCTTGTGTTCCATATCATAGATGTATCTGAATTTAATCATAAGATATGGTCTGCTGGGGGCAGGCCCTTTCCAGAACTTCGCAATGCTTAGTCTAACCAGTGGTGTATTAAGGGGGGGGGAGGGGCGGTCCTCCCCAGTAGCCACTCACTAGAGGGGTGTCCGGGGTAGACTGTGTAGGGTCCTGGGTCACTGACCGAGTACCCAACACCAGGAGGGGGCACGACGGCTTGTTTGATAGGGGTGGGGGCCAGGGGGAGGACATTAGGTCCCCCCCAATTTTTATTTTGGGCCCCCACCCGCCGCTCACTGTTTAATAGACATGCCAAAATTTACTAATACTAAAATTTACTAATACTAAAATTTGGCTGAAAGACCAATTTAGGTCTTTCAGCCTTTTGGTAGATAACTCCCTAATACTGTGGGAGTTAGGGAGTTATCTACAAAGCGGCTGCAAGAGAAGTCCCGAAATGCCAAAGTTGCAGAAGTTGCCGAAGTTCCGAAGTGTCTAAGTTCCGAAGTGCCGAAGTTCCAAAGTGGCGAAGTTCCGAAGTTGCCGAATTGCCGAAGTCCTGAATTGACGAAGTCCCGAATTTCGGAATGCCGAACTGAGACGAATATTTTCCCCATGCACATGCCCAGTCCAAATGATATGTAAATGAACACATAATAAACAAAGGAAGACAGTGGCACAACACCATTGTCTTTTATGAAGATATTTAAGCATTCCGTAATTTGCAGTTTCTGAGTCTGTCATCCACTACTTCTCATTTAGTTCTGGCAGAGGCAATATGGCAGAGAATAATAAAATGTTTCCAATATAATTTAGGTTTTTGTGAATTCAGCATCCAAACATTGATGGATCCATGTCAGCATTACAGACTCAGGGCTGGCACGAACTCTCCTGAGACACTATGCCCATGTTCTAAGGGCCTTCAGTTTACCCATCTCAGTGTGAGGGCTGAGTGGGAACATTTAAACAAATCCAGGACGTGGGACAGAACCCCGAATTTGGGACGATCCCACCAAACCTGCAACTCGTGGGAAGTATGTAATTGTTAGATCTTCATCATATATGTGTTAGGGACTAAAAGCATTCAGTACTCAATTTGTCTAAGGACAAAATTAATGAAATAATGGTGCTAGTACATAAGATAACTTATATTTAAACTACAGTTTTTTGCTTACTTAACTTTTTTCTTTTTTTACCTTTGTTTTCCTTTCTAACAGATACAAAGGAAACCTTCTGTGTACGAGGGGTTAGGCAGAGCACGGAATCAAGTTACATGCAAATTTGTGATGGTAACTTTTGGCATCTTTTGTGTCTCTCTCATCCACACTGTGTGTCATGAAACAGGTTGAGGAAGGTATTAAGATCTGGAGCTTCAATGATCACATAAGGGCCTTGCAAGCTACTAATCCCAAATTTCTGATCAAATCAAATTTCAGTTTTTATTGATGTGAAAAATGTTGGACCCAAACGAATCCCTAATTAAACAGGTCATTCAAAGGTACCTAAATGACAGAGCACAATGCTGTGTGTAAATCCTTGGGAATTCAAAGCGAATTTCATATTTTAGTATAAAATATCTAAATTGGAAAATATTGAGCTATGTTTCCAGTTCAACTTTTTTGGCCTAAGATGTAAAATTCACTTTGAATTCTTAACAATTCACCCACCTTATTGAATGGTCCTGTGAATGTGATGTGAGGATTCTATAAAAGTTGTGAAATTCCACAAAACCTATTGCAGTGTTTTGATTTTTATTTGTAGTTTGGCAAAACAGTTAATTTTTTTGTTTTGTGTTTGCTGTACACAGAAAAAGTGACAGCCCACGCAGGAATATATCAGTTTCCATTACATTTCCGAGACACCTGTAAGACATTTGATATATCAGTGGTATCGTGTTCCGTGTCCCCAGGCTCTGTCTGAGCCATCTATCTTAAGGTACAATGGCTGACGTGTGTAAGGAAAGCGACTGAGAAGACTAGTTAACTGTGTTGTTGAGGTGTCCGAACGTAGTATGCGAACGTCCTGCGTTTCAATGAATTGAAAGAATGTGAACGGTCAACATATAAACCAGTTCTGATGTTTTGGAATTCTACAGATGTGGGACTCACCCAGGATCACATAATTCTATCCTACCTCATTTGATACAATTTCCTAATGAAACAATGCTCACGCCTCTAATTTTTAAAAAGGTTTATTATCGACCATAAGCTGCTATTAAGTAGATTTATCTTTTCATCTTCTTCTGATGTCCTCTTTTTTGGTGAAATATCTTCATGGGTCAAAATTACTTTTATAGGTGCAGCAATATCTATTACATCTCTACAATATGTTTTAATAAGTCATAGAGAGAAGATGTTTCTTTGCCCAAGGTCAATGAAAATGGACTTGGGTGGCAGACTGTGCTGGTTCCACTATTATTAATACCTAGACTTGTGCAGAGCAGAAAAATTTGGTCTGTTAATTCATGTGAAAATATTTTTGTCCCAGTTGGACAAAACGTCGTCCATGTGGAGTTTTTGTACAGATAAATTTCGCCAAGGAAATCATTTTGAAAAAAAATTTGAATGAGCCAAAATTGAGCAGAAATGTGCCTATTAATGTACTGCAGTAAAAAACATCTTCTACTCCATTCTCTTCCCCTTTTTTGGCGGTATGGATAGAACTCTGAATAATAAAACAAAAAAACGGCTCACCCATTGCCCGTTGTTTGTTTTTTGATTTGTTCATATGGTCTTACGGATTTTGCCCACAATTTGGATCAATAGGGCTTAATTTGAAACCAAATTGTATAAATACAATTTTGATGTATTTTATTAATCAATTTTAAAAATTTGGGACATCACCATATAGTTTTAGCAGATGCTGTTCTAGCCAACAATCTCAAATGATTAAAACCTGTCAGGATTACTGTAGATGCCCAACACGCAGAACTAAAGTAGATAATAAGAAAAATCCTAAGACATATTACCAGGACTTATAATGGCCGTATTTAACCTATAAAGGCAAAAAAATCACAAGACAGGGTAAAGACAAGACGTAGAAATAATGAAAACGATGAACAAGCCACGGGTCAAGGAATGGAGATATCAGAATAGTCAGGAGCCAAGCCAAAGGTCAACGAATACAGAGATTGGATAGTCAAAAAGGGAAGCCAAGGTCAAATATACAAGAATCAATACAAGGAGTGTGCTCTCGTGTAACCAATATGGAAACGATGACACGGCACAGAGAAATGGACAAAACAGGCTTAAATAGTCTAAGGTGGCTCCCTGATTGGCTGCAGGGAAGCATGTGATCATGGGCGTGTATGTGAAACACCTTCATGATTAATACTGATCTGGCTCTTTAAGGGTTAAACAGGGAAACCCTTATATTCTTCAAAGCTGAGAGGAGGAGGAGCCACAAAAAAGGGTGAGTGAGAGGCGACATTCCCACAATCACGTGGGAATGCCACAACCAAGACGTGCCTGCCGGGTATGAGCGGACCCGGTGGGCGGAGACCTGACAGGTAGGAGACTGGCGGCATTCCACTTAGTGTGTGGGAATGCCGCCGCAATGAACACTTTTGTTTTTGCCCCCATTTTTCATGAGCTGAACTCAAAGATCTAAGACTTTCTCTATGTACACAAAAGGCCTATTTCTTTCAAATAGTGTTCACAAATCTGTTTAAATCTGTCTTAGTGAGCACTTCTCTTTTGCCGAGATAATCCATCCACCTCACAGGTGTGGCATATCAAGATGCTGATTAGACAGCATGATTATTGCACAGGTGTGCCTTAGGCTGGCCACAATAAAAGACGAAAGACCACTCTAAAATGTGCAGTTTTATCACACAGCACACTGCCAGAGATGTCGCAAGTTTTGAGGGAGCGTGCAATTAGCATGTTGACTGTAGGAATGTCCACCAGAGCTGTTGCCCATGAATTGAATGTTCATTTCTCTACCACAAGCCGTCTCTAAAGGCGTTTCAGAGAATTTGGCAGTACATCCAACCGGCCTCACAACCTCAGAAAACGTGTAACCACACCAGACCAGGACCTCCACATCCAGCATCTTCACCTGCAAGATCGTCTGAGACCAGTCACCCAGACAGCTGCTGCAACAATCGGCTTGCATAACCAAAGAATTTCTGCACAAACTGTGAGAAATCGTCTCAGGGAAGCTCATCTGCATGCTCATCGTCCTCATCGGGGTCTCGACCTGACTGCAGTTCATCATCACAACCGACTTGAGGGGGCAAATGCTCAAATTCGATGGCGTCTGGCACTTTGGAGAGGTGTTCTCTTCACGCATGAATGACGGTTTTCACTGTACAGAGCAGATGGCAGACAGAGTGTATTGCGTTGTGTGGGTGAACGGTATGCTGATGTCAGCATTGTGGATTGAGTGGCCCATGGTGGCAGTGGGGTTATGGTATGGGCAGACGTATGTTATGGACAACGAACACAGGTGCATTTTATTGATGGCATTTTGAATGCACGGAGGTACCGTGATGAGATCCTGAGGCCCATTGTTGTGCCATTCATCCACAACCATCACCTCATATTGCAGCATGATAATGCACGGCCCCATGTTGCAAGGATCTATACACAATTCCTGTAAGCTGAAAACATCCCAGTTCTTGAATTGCCAGCATACTCACCGGACATGTCACCCATTGAGCATGTTTGGGATGTTCTGGATCGTATATGCCAATATCCTGCCAATATCCAGCAACTTCGCACAGCCATTGAAGAGGAGTGGACCAACATTCCACAGGCCACAATCAACAAGCTGATCAACTCTATGTGATGTGTTGCACTGCGTGAGGAAAATGGTGGTCACACCAGATACTGACTGGTTTTAGGACTCCCCTGGATCCCCCCAATACAGTAAAACGGCACATTTTAGAGTGGCCTTTTATTGTGGCCAGCCTAAGGCACACCTATGCAATAATCATGCTGTCTAATCAGCATCTTGATATGCCACACTTGTGAGGTGGTTGCAGGGGCACCACCAGAAATTTTGGGGCCCCTAACTCAGCTCAGCATACATAGTGACAGACACATATTAACATACATACAGATACACATGCATGAGGACATACAGACACATACATACATACACACACACATACATACATACATAAACACACAGACATACATTCATAATGAGATACAGACATACATACATTCATACTGGCATACATACATACAGACATACTGACAGACATACATGCATTTAGACACTGACATCCATACATACATACACAGACCTACATTCATAATGGCATACATACATACATACATACATGCATATATACAGACAGACATACACACATACACACAGACATACGTTCATAATGACATGCAGACATACATAATGACATACAGACATACATTGATACTGGCATACATATAGACATACATACAGATAGACATATAGACGTACATGCATACATTCATAATGACATACATTCATACAGACACTGACATCCAAACACACATACATACATACAAAGACATACATGCATACATGCATACTGACATCCATACACACAGACATATGTTCATA